GACAATTTTCGTAAACGCATCCGACGTTTTCTCTGACATGAGACTGTCTGAAAAGCACCCAGCGGATGGGCGGAGTCCTCCTCCCATTATCCTTGTCAATGCTCTTGTGGTTTTGAGTAAATAGCCGACAGAATTACAGTAATTTCTCTGTCGAGAGTCCCTGCTGCTAATTCTTCGATTTTCGTAACCACAATACACATGAACCAAAAATCGGCCGGCCGTAATCACGGGTTTAACGTGTTTATGCGCATAATATGTTATTAAGAACTTTCTGTCACTTTGAAGTTTCTACCTAAGTATCTGTGTCTGATTTTCAGGTACTGTGACACTAAAACAAATCAACGTAAAATAATTATTCACAACCTTTAACTTCCATTTCTGAAGTATAATTGTAAACTACCGATTTGTATTCGATAATTTCGAACATGAGGTAATCTACATAGACAGTTTTTACAACACTTTGGTCACTAACAGATATATTAGACTTATTAGACTCACCAATTATTATAATTTTAAGAGAGAATAATATGTAGAGATATTGCGAATAAAAATAAGAGTATACAAAAGGGAACTTTAGGAATCTTTAGCTCAACAAAGCAACAATCGATAATAGAAAATAGTAATCTAAGAAATGATTTTTTTTCAAAGTAAAAGAATTATGTTACTTTGAATTTTATATTTGTTTTTAAAATCTTAATTAATTCAATACCTATACGAATCTTTTATATATTGAATTCCACTGTTTAAACTCACATCTAATGAAACAATTTATGCTAATTAAGAAACTACAATAATTAGTCAATAATTGAATATATGCATGCATACAATTAAATGTATGATCCATGGTTACTGGTTCCATGAAAAATGTGAATTTGAAAGCGTTGCACGTAATCTCCAAAGTAACTAAAGTGATTAAATATCTGAATACTCTCTGCTTTTAATAGTGTTATTAAAGAAAAATTGTTTCGGAAGAGCTATTGATACTTTTTCAATAACAATTACATCAAACGTAATTCTGAAGTATAATATAGTACTCTTACGACAATTCCAGTTTACTCTTAATTTCAATTTTACTCGAAATAAATATTTCTTTTCTATTTTATATAATTCTTATCTAAATTAGTTCACTCGATACTCCATGGACACAGTAATTTTATTAAATGTCCACATTTTCTCATTTCTCAGACATTTTCTCTAATTTCAAATTCGTTCATTCTTCTTAGTTTCACCTGTTAAAGTTGCATTTAAGTGAATAACCAATACCTGCAATGAGTTTAGAGTTCTACCCGAAACTATCAGGTCCGTTAGGGTAGGTTAGTAATCTCTACCTGAGAACGAAATTACACCGGCTAAACTTCGTTTATGGAAGGATCGATACTACGATCGAGAAGCATTGCTAGTGATAGATACCGTTACAGAAAACAATAACCGCTCCTCGAAAATTTTGTCCGTCGAGTAATCGCACTACCTGACTCAACTACGAAGTCAGGTGTCCTTGAATTTTCATAGCAGTTTGCAGCGACTACTTTTGAAATAGATCTTCGTAACAACAGATTTTGTAACAACTTTTCTTGTGATTTTCACCCTTCAAACAATAGTACCAGAATATCATTTCGTTTAAAATCTACTGAAAATTAAAAGGCTTTTATAAAACTAAAATAAATAATTTTCTATTTAACTGAGGAATGAAGAATTTACTATTTCTCTTCAAATGAAGACTATTCGCACACAATGAATAAGAAATTTAATCAAATTAGTATTACTATTATACGAGTATTATAATAATTAATGGTAGATGATCAATAATTTTAATTGGTAAGATGCGTATATAATAATTTATTAAATTAAATTCAGTACGACATATTATAAAATTTTGAATATTTTCATTAACGAAAGAAATGATTGATTACTTAAGAATAAAGAAAAGTCTGTAGTAGAAAATAGATAGTTTTCATGATTTTAGGAGAATATTATTGAGGTAAGAAATAACAAGAGTCTTTTATTATTCATAACGTGGCCCAATATATTTAACGAATTATTTCTCAATATTTACAAAAAGGCACTGTCTCGATAAATTTACATTCTTTGCAATTTATCCACTCCGATTCCATTCAATATATATCATTTACAATATTATTACAAATTATATTACAACAAGAGCTTTCACAATTCGCGAGAACAGTATTTAAATACTCCTCCGAATTAACATAAATATTTTCGCGTAGTGTTCGTAACATTTTTCAAATTTACAACGTTTCGACGTTTAAACAAATCCGTCAACTGGCAATTGTATTTCCTGTGATATTCAAACGGAATGTCTTTTCAGAAAGAAAACCGGTTATTATTTATTGCGGAGAGTTATGAAACTGAAGAATTCTAAGGCACTCTGGAATGCGTTATCCTTCGAGGATGTCCCTTACAATTAATGTCGATACGACATCATCTTACTATTTCTAGAGCATCTTCGTATTTACAATTCGACAGACTGATTTGAAATCATCAACGATTGCAGCATTAACACGTTGACTGCCAAAGTTCACTTTAACTTTACAACAAAGAAGTTTCCCGTTGTTCAAATATTATTTCTTATTTTACAATATTTAGATTCAGATAATCTCCTGACGAATTATAGTTTACAGAATCTCGATTTCATTGAAAAATTATTTCACGGGAATTCTCCGCAATGGCGGTCAACGTGTTAAAAGCAAATTACCCATAAGGGACTGGCAAAGACACGCTTTAAAATGACATCTGTATGTACAAACATTAATATGACTAGATCACAGTTAGTGGAACAGCCTGTTCGTCGCCTTCTTCCGATTTTGTGTGTCACCCTTTGACTGGTTTCTGTAACAAACAATTAAAACATGCCCGTTAAATACAAAGATCTTTAATCTATTTGTTCTTATAATAACAAACAAACTTTTTGCTCACAAACTTTTTTATCCTTCAATTATTCGTTAGCAATTACTTGTTCGCTAACGCGTACACTCTCACCAATTTTATAATCAACTATATATTCGCGGCGATACCAGTTTATAAATTTATTCTCGCCGAAAACGGAACCGTCGAAGGTCGCTGCAGGTATAGAAACGAAGCAGGGGATGATTTCAGGTAAGGGCGGTTGTACTGGAAGGGACTCCAACGAAAAAGAAGAAATCGAGAGGGAGAGAACGGGAAAGAAAGAAAGAAAGAAAGAGAAAGAAAGAGAGAGAGATAGAGAGAGAGGGTTCAAAAACCCACAAAAGGGAGACTGAAATATCCTGAAAGATGCATTCAAGTGAAACGCAGCAGGCGAAATCGTCTGTTGTCGGAGGAAGACGGAGAAGTAAGCGAAAAATGAAGGAGGACGGGCAATAACGAAGAAAAATTCGGTGGGACCGTTACCGTTCGTCGTCACTGAATTCGAATATCCATTCAAGTCCGATTTCTTTTTCTTCTTTAGATTGGTAAATATCAGAGAGCATTATATAATTGATAACATCTGGATATTATGAAAATGAAAGTGAAAATGAAAGTGAACATGAAAATAAAACACGAAAGTGAACATGAAAATAAAAAGTACAAATGAAGTGGAATTAAAAGGACATATAAGGGAGCAGGATTTTCCATTGTTTATCAAAAGTGTATAAATATCGAACATTCTTCAACTAACAACGATTCAAACGTAGTAAAATTTTCAAATACCGATAGTCGAGGGTTGTGGAGGGAAGGAAAAACGGTAGGGGCGACACTGACACACAAACGGATCCGTGTGCGTGCGTGTGTTCGCTCGTGTGTGCGCGTCAGCGAATGGTGAAAGAAATCGGGCACAAAAGCGTCGCTTCTCGAATGTATACCCTTCTGAATGGAGTCTGCAATTTGAATGGCTCAAGTTTCAGCGAGGGGTCGCGCGCACCATTGTCGCGGGGCAAGGTCACAAATCTGGTCGGAAACTCCTTTGAACTTCCTCGGTAACACGGATGTTACCTCACGGATAAAATTTACGGTTGTTGAAAAGCGAGGGAGGTGAGAAGCTTTCCGAAAATAGTTCGACCGAAACACTGTATACTTCCTTTTTTATAATATTAGTGAAAATAGTACTACATAGACTAAATTGTAAATTGAATTCAGTTTTCTTTTTTTTTCAAATTGTGCTAGATGATTTTGACAATCGGTAAAGAATTAATTTTGTTGCGATAAAAGTGTGACACACGTTGATGTATCTTCCTCCACAATGATAAAAAGAATGAAATAATTAGGATAAGTAAGAATAAAACGAGGATCGTGAACAACAAAATCGTGAAAACATTCTGGGATCAACATGATATCGTGGTAAATAATTGTTAAATGAAATTTCCTTTGTACAAATCTGAAACATATACCAGTATAGAAACTAAAATGAAGCTTAACAATGAAGAGTGTCATTACGGTTTTAATTGAATAGCATATGTTTAATCCAAGGAGCAAATTGCTGAACACTCATTTCCTGTTAATCAGCCTATAAAATTGCGAATTTGCATAAATATTCACATCCTTAAAATAAATATAAACTAAAAATAATTATAAACTAAAAAAGCGACTGTTAGTTTGGCGGAAAACAAGTGGCCATAAGAATTATCATCATATATTATACAAACAGAATTCTTAAGTTATGTAAAAATTCATTATGTAATCGTAATAATGCAGAATTCAATCTTCATAGAAAGTGCTGTAAATATCTAATAAAAATCAAAAGGTTCATTCGATTCATAGTTACTTCTAAACCATAAAAAACAAAACCAAAAAATAAACAACCATTTATCAAATGATCAATTTAGTAAAAATTCATTATTACCCTTAAATTGAAAAGTAATCATTGAAATCTCTGTAGGAAATAAACGTCAACTCGCTGACTACTACTACCCATTGTTTCCCACGTGTCTAACGACATCGCCAATAAAACGTCAACAAGTGGGGACACAAACACCAACCTCATAAGCAGGAAAGGAACCAACTGGAATGCGACGCGGGGGCAGGCCTCATTGACTTTGTTGCCACCAGGAGATAACGTCCAAAAGTTCCTCGTCCTCGGGGCTCATCGGCTCGTAATTATCGTAACCGTCGGAATGGGCAGTGTAGAGGTTGCCGGAAGTTCCGTATCCCTGGCTGCCAGCTGACGAGGTCTCGGAAACGAAGCTCGGCGTGGGTGAACTGGAAGCTTCGGAACAGGGCGCCGGCACGAATGTCGGGCTGGGATTTTGTCTGAGATGCCTGTGCATGTCGGGGCTGTGGTGTCTGATTTCGTTCATGTTCCCCCGTAGTCTCAATTCTGGCGAGTGGTGGCTGCTCTCCACTCCGATCCCGTTGCCGGAGCCACACGTGGACGAGGAGGTGGACGAGGGCGGCGACGAGGTCGGCGAAGACACACTCGCGTCCGAGCCGCTGTCATGCTCCTCCAAAAGACGTTGGAGACTCCTGATGTACTCGACGGCCATCCTTAGCGTCTCGACTTTCGACAGTTTTTTGCTACCGGCCCTGGCACCGCCATGCGTTCCAGCGGTGCTTCCACCGAGTGCTTGCGCGACGCTCTGGGGTATGTGCTGCCTTAAAGTAGCGAACCCGTTGTTCACCTGTTTCACACGATTTCTTTCCCTCGCATTCCTCCTCGCCACTGAAGCTGGCTGGTGAGGAACAGTCCCGTACGGTCCGGTCTGTCCGTAGATCTTGGACCTCTTGCAACCGTGTTGGTGGATCTTCATGTCGTTGGACGGCATACTGTTCGTGGAGACGATCACGTTGCCGCGATGGGTTTGAGCACTGGTCGTGGACGACCCATGGAGATTATGGTGGTGATGCTGCTGCTGGACGCTCAACATGATGGGCAATACGTTCCCCTCCTTCGACGCCACTAAGGTCATATCACTGATCCGCCACTGCAGGAGCGCGGCAGCGCGTGCCAGGTGACCTTGAGGAATCCTTGCTGAACGGTGGAACGGTGTAACCCCTTTCTGACACCTTGGACGAGTACACGCGACCGCGAACAAACGTAAAAAAAATCAGCAATGCTGGGATGATTACCGTCTTTTCGAACGAGTCAAGTCGAGTATCGCGAGTTAAGAAGACTGCCGCACCCTCGGTGTCGATGGTACGGACCTGGCTCCCGAAATGCCTTGCCAAGAAGGGTTCGAGGCCTTATATAGCCAGGGCGGGCACGCGCCTATCCCCTCCACGGGACCCATACTCGATACCGGGCCCTAAACCCCTGGACTCCCCCTTCCCTCCGACCCCGGCGGCCTGCAGCGCCTCATACCCCCGACATCCCCACCACAGGCCCTACGACCGAGATTCTCATCTTGAATTGCCCTCATGCTTTGGCTCTTGGTTCGAATCTGTTTACTGATTTGGATATTTGAAGATGATACCTCGGACGCATTATCGAGTCGATAATTCCACGCCGCGAACGTTCTTGGAAGTTAGAAAAGCTAACTTTGAAAATCAGCTGCTGTTCGAGGTGTACGGGCAGCTTTCGTGCCAATAAAGTTTTCTGTTGCGTGGCGCTCGACATTGTTGCTGCGAAATGGTTAGCGATGCTGGCCGGTACGAAGAAATGTTGAATCGAATTGTTTACCTTTATAGAAAGTAGTATTGCTCGTTTCATTTCATAAAATTTTGAAATTTCTATACCACATATCTTCAACTTCAGTGTTTTGACTCTTAAGATTTTCTATTACTCTGTAGAAAACATTGATTCTACAATGAAACTCTTATAAAATACGGAAAGGGTGCTCTTATTAAAGCGATTTGAAACTAGCGACCAAAGATACAGATTAAAAACTGTATACAACTGACGGCAACACCAGTTACATACCTTCGCCTATTACAATTCACTACAACAGTCGATCGAAAATTTACAAATAAATACACAAATCTCAACGGCGCGGAAGTATGATCAAAGTTAAAATTGAAATTTTAAACATTCGAGTTGCCAGCTATTCGAACGATTCGACAAAAAAGCTTCCAAACGAAAGGTGACCCGAAAACTCGCAATTTATGATTTCCATCGAAACGTCGGGATCGTTAGAAACAAAACAAAGGTGATTTTCATTATTATACTTGAAATAATTTACGACCGGCGTGAGAGACACTGGCGCACGCGTAAGGGTCCAATCCCCACCGGCGGACCCAGGGATCGAAATTTGAACAGTTACCGGGAGAAAGAAAAGCTGGTCCAGAGATCTGGCTGAGAGAGACGTGCGCACGCGAGAGGAACGGGATGGACAGAGAAGATGAGGACGATACGAACGAAAAAGAAGAAGAAACGTGAGACGCTTGGTGGGGAGCCGGGAGGGTGTAGAGAAGCAAAAGTAGTGACTCTACTGGCGGTGGAGTAAAGGGGGTTCGGGAGGATATGTGGGCCCAAGCAGAGGGAAGTTGGCTGCGCCGATGGGCAGAAGAGGGCAGGGGGTGTAAGACGTGAGCCGTTCT